AACAGTGTTGTCAGTGTACGAAGGTAAACTCGAAATAGAAGTGTCTGTGAACTCAAAAGACGCCATCTTGGAAGTCGCCTTGTGTTTATGTGCGTATTTTTCCTTGGCGTTTAGAAGAAAGCTGGGGATTTTTTCGTAAGCGCCACACTGTAAATAAAGGAATGAAATTGGAAAACAGAGGATAAAGGACATGCCAGTGTATACTAGTGCAGAGAGACGCTAAGTTTTGTAAGGGAAGGTGTGTGTGTATGTCCTTTCTCGTGGTTGCGTCACAGACACGTCATGCTTACGTCATACCAAGAAGTATGACGTCATAGAACTTGCCTTGAGGATGAATTGAAAAGTGAACGAGAATGTACCAAAAAATAATAGAAAAAAGGATGAATAACTGTAAAATGTATGTCTGTAGTCTTGTAAAGATAGTTAGCAGATGTTTTAAATGCCGGAATACTCCAAAGAAGATGAAATCAAGAAAATAGATGAAAAGAAAGAGAGAGAGAAAGAAAAAAATGTAAGTTTATCCTTCAGAATTAACTGTGCGTGTTCAGGTGATGTTCTATTGTTTTGTACTCTTCTGTTCTCTCACATGTGCATATTCATCGTGAAATGAGAGATATTATTATCTATAAGAATGAGAAATAAAATAAAAAAAATGTTTAAAGAACAGTGCGTTTATCCATCTGTTTCCCTTCAAAACAGATTGGTGTGCATGAGGTTCTTTTCATATACCCCCCCCCCCCCCTTGTCATCTTCCTCCCTCCCTCTACTTCCTCATTTCCCTTTACCCTCTTCCTCCCTCTCCTCTACCTCCTTCGTCTCTCCTTCCTCCCCTTTCTTCCTTTCTACTTTCTCTAAAACCAACACATGCATGACAACTGCCTTTATAATTAACAGCATCTTAAGAGGAACAAACATTAACAAGTTTCAAAAGATATCATATAACTTAAGGGGAAATAACATATATATATATATATAAAAGTTATCTTTTCCCCTTCTACCAAGTCATATTAAATTCATCCTAACCCAAAAGCGATGTGTCGGTTTGTTTACATTCTTTGTTGTCATGGCAACCGCTTATCAAAATAAACGAGATATTATTAAAAACAAAGAAAAGAAGGAATAGATTTAGTTTATTCTTTCAACCCCTTTTTTTCCCCCTGGTGAAATATTGAGCTCTCTATATCAAGTATAAATCGACTATAAAATAATCTTTAACTGAATAAAAAAAACAACAACAACATTAAAAGTTATTGCCTTGACAATTCTTCAGCAACCTCAACATCCTCTGCCTTTTCGTTCTTATATCAACAAGGTTAACTCTAAGGCTGTTTACATCCTACATTTAGGTTGTTAACGTTACTATGGCACACGTTAGGAACACTGCAAATTCAGCGTTGCCATAGTAACCTTGTGAATGTTTAAACAGAACAACCTCTAGAATATTATTCATCTGCAACATATCCTGTATCAAAGTATGTATAATGTTCTTCCCAATTTGTTTGCAATAAAATGTGAATTAAAATCGGGTGTTTATTTTACTCGAACAACAACGCGAGGAAGGAGCGAACAAACACGATAAAATGAAATAAAAAAAAACACAACAACACGAGGAAGGAGCGAACAAACACGATAAGATAATAAAAAACGCGATAAAACAAAAACAAACAAAAACAAAACAAAGGAAGGAAGGAAGCCATCAGAGAAAGTTTCTTCGAGTGAAACAAGGAAGTTTATTTGGGCCAATCTTAAAGAAAATCAAGAGAGTAAAAAGAGTGTGAATGGGGGAGAGGGGGGGGGAGGAGAGGAAGCGGGAGAGAGAGAAAAGGGGAGAGTAAACAGATAGATAGACCGACGCAATGATATTGATTAATATTTAAAGAGAGAAGGAGAGAGAGAGAGAGAGAGTGAGTGAGTGAAAGAAAGAGAGAGAGTGAGTGAGTGAGTGAGAGAAAGAGAGAGAGAGAGAGAGGGAGAAATATAAAAAAAAAGAAAGAGAAAGAGAGGGGTGAGAAAGAGGGAAGAGAAAGAGATAGAGAGAGAAATTGAGAAAGGGGGTAAGATAACGAGGGAAGTAAAGAGAGAGAGAGAGAGAGAGTCGGGACGTCGGAAACAGAAAAGGAAAAAAAAATGAGGGAGAGAAACCCAAGAAAAAGGAACACACAAAAAAACAAAAACAGTTCGAAAATAATAAAGAAAAAAATATATTCTAACAAGTACAATCCATCAAAGCATCTCAATATAAATACCCGCCTCCCTCCTTCCTCTTCCCCCTCCCCTTCACCACCCCCCACCCCCCAAAAAAAAATCCCAAGGGAGTAACTCCTCTCACTTAACCCAACTTGGCCTGGAGTGCGCGAGAGAGAGGGAGGAGAGGGATGCTCACCCTGTCCTCTCCCTTGTGGCATAAACTTCTTGCGGTGAAGTTTTACCCTGTGGCGAAGTTTTGCATGGGGAAATGTGGTGATCGAAGGGGAAAAGAGGGATATTTAGGGAAAGCGGA